TTGTTCCAAGCTCACAGTGAGTTCCCCGGGAGTGACCTGAGAACGAAAGTGCTGTCTATGTCCACATAAGTGGTGTGTTTTCCCAGAGTTTTCCAGAGTTTTCCCAGTGTCTCTGTCCTTATCCCTCTCCCTGAGACCAGCATGCCTGGTCCTGTGTGTGGGAGAGTGCTGGACAGACGTGTGGCCATCCTCATTTTCTTTTCTCCATTTCCCAGTGTGCCTGGAGAGGCGATAGATCAGGAGACCAGATTGTTGTATTCTCCAGGAAGCAGCAGGAGATTGGATGTGGGTCCAGAAACTTCTCCAGGAAGCGGTATCTCTGAAGGGAACTCCTTCAGTTCACCTCCCTGTATTAAAAATTAGGTGAACCTCAAGTATGACATGAAAATTCACTCTGCTTTGCCCACATCTAATAAAATGCATTTGGAGCAAAGACTGCTGGGGCAGTGGGGGGAGGGGAGGTGCTCTGACTCCCTATCTCTATCTCAGTTGCAAAAAGGATGAGAAGCTGCAGTTTGCCTGGGCCAACGTGAGCCTCATCCATCCCTTGTGGACTTCTCCCTTCTCATGGTCTGCAAAACACACACAACGGGAAGCAGAAGCAAAGGCTGCCGACCTCTCCAGGTGGGTAAGCAAGGATGAGCTGAAGCCTTGGGACATAAAGCCATAGGTGTACAGCCTAGGTTTCTCTCTTCCTTAACATGACTCTGGCTCCAGGCCCTGGCCACCTCATGGGCCACAGCTGTTGCAAATGGATTTATCCTTTGAGGACAGCCAACAGTTGCCCTTCACATCAAAGGCATGCTACTATCTGGACTCTAAACCATGTGCATGGCCTTCTTCTTTAGTTCCTTTCTGTTCTTCTTGCTGTCTGGTATTTTGGAGTGCAAAGCATGGTCATCAATTAATCTTTTTTTCTCTCCCCTCCCTCCTTTCCTTTTTCTCCTGCTTCCTTCTTTCCTTCTTCCTTCCTTCCTTCCTTCCTTCCTCCCATGTGGTGTGTATGTACATTTCTGTGTGCAGGTGCACATGTTGGTTTAGGTGTGCATGTGTGCAGGTGTGTCAAAAGACAATCTCTGCTGTAGATCCTCAAGGTACCTCCCCCTTTTGTTTGAGAGTGGGGTTTTCCTTGCCTTGAGCTTCTCCAGCTGGGGGATTCTCAGGGAATGGTGCACCACACGATTCTCAGAAAGACTCCAAGACGGATGCTGCATTGGGCTAGTATGCTATCTACCTTCAAAACACTCTCTGGAGTTCCATTCTTGTTGAATTTTCTTGTTGTCCTATGATAGGGCACATCAGGAAGCCAGGCTGCAGTCCTGTGAGCTTTGCTGAGCAGGAGGCGGCCCTGGGTGGGAGACCCTTTGTTGCCTGGCCAGGTACACAGTCTTGAAGGAAGCCCTGGCTTTATGAAGCGGGTGGTGGAGGATGGAACCAAAGCGAGACAGCATAGCCCAGATGGCGAGCACACAGTTTGTACAGGATCTTCGGGGTCCCTTTAATCATTTTATAACCTAGGAGGAAGCCTTTTCATGCTTTCACATGTTGGGTTCTTACTGTGTGCAGGGATGTGATGCCGACTCCTTTTAGAAGGGTCTGGGGATAGAACTGGATGAGATGCCAAGTGCCCAGCCTTACTGAAGGATGCATGAGATGCTCACTTTGGACCTGAATTCTGTCTGAATTGGAGAGACTGGAATCCAGCTCGAGTGAAAGGGGAGATCTCTTTTAGAAGAATCCCCTCCTTTCTACTGTCCCTGCCTCCGCAGGAACAGGCTCCCCAAAGCCTCTCAGGCACCAGGTAGTTCTCAATTCCAGATTCCATTCTTTGGGTTTCCAGAGCCTTCTGAAGGCCTCAGTGGTTCTACATAACAGGTTCTGAGATGACCTCCCTACACCCAGCTGCTCGGGACACAGCTGATAACCACATTCACTGGCAGGCAAGGGGATAGACAAAGATTCACTACAGGTGGAGTTGAACTGTTTACCTCGTCTGGACCCAAGGATTGAGACACCTGTGACCTGGAGTCCGGTTCTCTATCACATGGCACCTTTCCACCTTCAGCCAGGATGCAACACCCATTTTTTTTCTTTGCTAACAGCACATTTTCAATTAAAAGCACAAGTTCGTGGATATGAATCACACAGTTTCTATAAATCCTGCCTTGTGATGATTTATTTTCTTGACACCAAATAAGTTACACACAGTGAACTTGACCTACTTTTCTAGCACTTCGTCTGCAGAGCCCAGGTTAGCACGGAGGGAATTGATGGATGTGACAAGCAATTTGACTCTATAATTTAGATCCTGTGGGCAAATTAATCTTAAAGAAGTGAAGAGTCAAAATACTTTTTATGAACCGAAGATCCCCAAAGATCTTCGCAGCTTTGAAAGCTAATATGACAGGTCCGTTCTTGGGTTAGCTTAGGTCAAAGTGGCTCACTCCTGAATTCCTGAAGGGTGCTGCCCTCCTTACTGAGGCTTCTCTGAGGAGGGGACAGGACAGTAAGCATTCCAGAGCCAAGCCTACCCTTTAAACTAACCCTGCTGGTAACACACTGGTATCTCACTGACCTAATGGCTTTTTAAAAAATATTGTTGCTGTTAGTCTTTGTCTTTTTATTTTTGTTCTGTTTTGTCTTGTAGTCCTAGGGATAGAACCTGTGATCTCATGTACACTAGGCAAGCATTATACCCCTAATTTACACCCCCACCTCCTTAAAGACAGTTAGTTTTAAAAGCAAGTATCTCTCTTTTGTGAATGTGTTCATGTGTATGTTTGCAGGTGTGCATACATGTGTATGCATGCTTGTGGAATCCAGGGCTTATCGTTGGGTCTCCTTTTCAAGTCGCTTTCCACCTTGTGTTTTGAGGATGGGGTCTCTCACTGACCCTGGAGTTCACTGACTCAGCTAGGCCCACTGTCTAGCAAGTTCCGGGGATCTGCTTGTCTTTGCCTTCCTATTACAGGTATTTGATGCCTCATCCGATATGTGGATGCTGGGATCTGAATTTTGATTCTCGTGCTTTTATGGCAAGCCCCTTAGGGACCACAATCTCTCCCCAGTCCCAGCATCCCTTTAAAAATAGCCTGATAAGCCTATGAAGTACTTCTGGGGGCTGATATTTGTGCCACCAACAACAGACTAGTCTTCCTCTTCTACTTAGAACAAAGGCCACTCATCTGAGATCACACACTGACAGACTTCAAGCAAGTAGGCCCTTCTACCCTTAAATATTCAAACAAAAAATAATGAAGCCTACCTGAAGGGGCATGGGAGTTTGTTTTGGGGATCGTTACAGCCCTATGGGGAGCATTAGGACTCTCAATGGGGAGCACTGAGACTCTCTGGTGATCGGCCTGGGGTTCCCATGCTCCCACTATACCCTTGATACTCTGAGTTACTCTTCTGAGGACCACCATCTTGGCATCATCTAGCAACTGGTCTCAGGCACAGGATCTCAGGCTGTGGTCAAAGTCTACCTAATCAGAGTTTGCATTCAGGCTAATAGTCCATATGAAACTTGGGGGAAAATCAAACAAACAAAAAAAAAACCCAGTGAAATTAATTCACTGAAATCCTGTTGAATTCTGTGTAATGTTGTCTTGATATGTATATATTTATATTTCAGTATAAATAAATACACATATATATATATTTCTTTGTAAAAATAACTACTAGCCACTTCATACACGTATAGCCATTATGACCATCTTTTAATTGCCTACAAGGGTTTCAGATAGTTACAGTAAACTCTGCCTGCGTGGATCCTTGCAACTCCTTAGCCCATGCGCACAATCCAAGCCTCTAGTGTTCTCTTCGGGAAGCAATTGCAATCTATATTACCCACATCTTTTTCTTAAGCCAACTCACCCATTGCTTTACCTAAGGACTCAATGGTGTCCTTTCCAAAGTACTGTGCCAAAGCCCAACTCCCCAGCATGATAGATGTGGTACCCATGGGAGACGGCTAGGCTCATTGGAGGTCCTGAGGTCTTCTTTATTGAATTGTTGTCCTTACAAGGGACACCAGAGACCGACTCACCATCAGCTTCCTTGGAGTTGGGCTGCCCAGACATGTGGCAGAACATCATTCTGGGTGGGTCACCGGTCTTGTCTGGCTTTCGGGTTTGGACTGAAGTGTTGGCTCTTCTTGAATTTTCCTGCCTGCTGGTTTTCAGACTAGAACTTACACCATGGATTGCCTTTGTGTATTTGGGATAAATAATACAGTGGCAGGCAAAAAATAACACAGTGGATGGCCTAAATAAGGAACACGCGTTCTTCATAGTTCTAGAGGCTAGACACTCCAGGTCAAGGGGCTGGCAGTTTCAGTGTTTTAGGAAGACTCGTTGCTGGTTTATCGGCAGCCACCTTCTGGACGTAGGCTCTCAGCTCTAGCCTCTCCCTTGAAAGAACTCCCACCCCCTTGTTGGGATTTTACCTTTCTGACCTCACCTGATCTCTGTTATGTCCCCAAAGTCCATTTCTTAGTGCTATCCTATTGGGTTTCAACATTTGTGTTTTTCTGGGGTTTTGTGCATTTAGTTCTCACACACTATGCTTTCCTGGTCCTATGAGTGGACGCAAATCTACTTTCTAGGGTCTCCAGCTAACTGCAGGTGTGGGGTGTCTCATCCTCTGTAATTGTGTGAGCTGTTCCTAGCAATTACTCTCAGTTCTGTCCCAGGTCTCTTTACCTGTCAAATTGACTCAGCCCAGACACCTGAAAAGAGGAGTCTCATCTGAGCCATTGCCTAGGTCAGGTTGGCCTCTGAGGCGTTTCCTTGATTGCTAATCGGGGTTGGAGGGCCCAGCCCACTGTGAGCCGAACCATCCGTAGGCAGGTGCTTCTGATCTGTATAAGAACGCTATCTGCGCATGTGTGAGGAGGCTAGCCAGCAAGCATAGTTTCTGCCTTGAATTCTGTCAACGATGGGGATGGGCCCTCTGACCTGGAAGTGTAAGCCGAGAAAACCCGTTCCTCCCCTGAGTCGCTTCCGTCTGAGTGTTCCATCACGCAACAGGGAGGAAACAAGGAGTCACCCGACCTGGGTGAGTACCCTATCAGCTACGTTTCTCTGGTGAGCTTCGAGTGATGGTGTTATCTTAAGACAGCAGAGCTGGTACAGCAGGCAGCAGCTATGGCGGGGGGGGGGGGGGGGACAGTCCTTTCTGCTCCCCCTTTCCTCCCCACTGACCAAACTGAAAAGTCCTCGGAGCGCCATCTATCTGCCTACCTCTTAGAATCCCAAGAAGAGGGAGTAATAAGCAGATAGGAACAAATATGGCCCCCAGGCCTTTGCTAGAACCATGCAAGATTATCGGTGTCTTGCTGAGGATAGACAACCGTGCTCAGGTCCCATCACCGGTGGACCCAGAGCTCAGACCTTTTCCCCTGCTCCATTCTGCTTCCTCGGCCTCTCTGGCTCTTGAATGAAGTGGAAGGCATGAAGCCATAGGCTTCCGGGCCATGAGCCGCCAAGGAGGACAGCAGCAGCAGGGTATATCCTGGGAGATGTCCTTTATCTTCTGTCACTCAGGACAAGAGAGGTTGCCAGAGGATCTCACTACCATCTAAGGCAAAACCTGGCCAGAAGTTAGCGACCCCTTCAACCGTTTTATGTTAATATTCAGTACTTCCAATTTGGAGACTATAGAATCTTAAGTAATGGAGGGTCGAGGGGTTTTCAAGCTTTTGTTGTTGTTGTTGTTGTTGTTGTTGTTGTTGTTGTTGCTGTTGTTTTGTTTTGTTTTTTGGTGCTGGGTGATGTTTCTCTTTAAGAAAAAAAGTTACAGCCACAAAATGTAAGTGAATATTTATTTAGAATAAGAAAATAAACCAAGTTTCGAAAGAAAGAAGCACAAATACCACAAACATCTAAAAGAAAAGCACAACATTTTTTTGTTAATTAACTACTTGACACATCTCTAGGATATTTTTATTCTTACATTTTTGGCTGTATGCTCAATGGAAAGTATTTCATTGGACAATAATTTGTAATTTTTTTTTAGATACAAGAGAGGGGTGACTTCGTCTTCTTGTAGCACAGTGGATTGAAACTTGTTTTAATTTCTCACTGTTGGGATGTGTGGACTACACTATTCTAACAGGTGTTTTCGTGCCTCTCAAACATGGGGATTCAGACAAAGAATACTTTATAGGAATCATGTGTGTCTTTGTGTTGTCTGACTTGAGTATTCCTGCTGGAGAGAGTTTCCAGACTCGGTAGGTATCCGTGCAAGCAACATTTTTACTCTGTGGTTTTTACATGACAGAGAAAAGGATTTTTCCAGACTAGTATTCAAACCTATGCACTCCCCTTCACCACTAGCATTTCACCTGGAAAAATAAGCCAGGGCCACCCAATGAGAAAGGCAACAGCTGCTCATTTTAGGTGGCCAGAGCAAAGAGCCAACTGCCAGGGCTGAGTTTGGAGGAGTCGCAAGGAGTACTAGAACTTTCCAAGAACCAAAAGGAGAAGACATTCCGTGGGTCCTGGTTGGAACTGCTGGCCTGGGAAGCCAGAGGCTGCCAGCTGAGGAGCAGGGCATCACGGCTCCCTTCCATCCATCGGTCCTGCGTCAGGAGAAAGGACAAACATTAGAGATAGCTCCAGCCATTTAGTCAAGCCCCAGCCATCTGAGGCTAACTTCACAGAAATACTGTTTCCAGCCTGGCTGGTCATTGGAATAGCAGGACAGCTTTCTCAGTGTGGCTGACCAAAGGTTGGGCTCCTGTGTTGTTTGTGGGGACAGGGGGCTGGCTTCCTGGATGAGGTGCTGCAGGGCTGACGGTCAAAGTTCTATTTTTAGATCTCATCTGTCCAGTGTCTGTTTGTATATTCAGCTCCTGGCCCCGCTATCCAGCAGGGGCGTGTCCGCTTCAGAAAAGCAGTCTGAGTCCATTGTGTGTGTTTGTCCTGGAACCAGCTGAGCTTGAAAATGTGCTCTGGAGGGAGCCGGCCATGTTTGTCCTCCTCAGGCAGCTCTCTGCGGGGCCCTGTAGCCAGCAGGTGTTTTGCATCAGCATTGGCTTCTGTGTTTAAAATTAACTTTGGAAAATTATTTTTGTTCTTGAGCCAGAGGCTCCTGGAGCCCAGGTTGGCCCTCACACTACCTGGGTATCCAACGATGGCCGTGAACTGGAGCTCACACTGCTTCTACTGAGGAGTGCTGGGATTACAGGAGAGGTGTGCGCCATGATGTCTGGTTCATTACAGTGCTGGGATCCAACCCAGGGCTTTGTGAACGCTTGGCAAGCACCCCACCAGCTGAGCCCCATCCTCAGCCCAGGATATAACTCTTAAGTAAATATAATAGAAGCACGATGACTACTGAAACCAAGAAGCCCGGTGAGTTGTAGGCCAGTCTTGGATATGTAGGCTAAAAGCCCAGCTGTGGGGTCTTCTGTGGGGTCCCCCTCAGGCAGGTCACTGTTCATCGTTCCTGGGTTAATGGCACAGGAGGCTGAAAATACTATTTTCATGAAGTTTACTTTCTGAAGGCAGAGGGAAACCACATTGTCATTTTAAAATGTAAACTGTATAAGAAAGAATCTGCTCCTAGCTGAGTTTTATTAAGGAGCTCAATCTTGATTAATTCTTGGCCAAGAAAAGCATGTACCACGAGTAACTGAATGCCGCTAATACAGCGATTAATTTATAAAAGCTAATAAACATTATCTGGAGTTAATTTTTACTCCTGGGGGAAGATTGCCAAGAGCTTAGGGTATGCTTCTAGAAGATTCTCCTTGTTAGGTCTGTGTACAGAGTTTGATGGACCCAAATCTTTTTAGAAAGTGTCAATGAAAAGAAAGATTGATGCAGAGAGAGCTGTGCCCAGGAAAACTGAAATCTGATAGGCAAAGAGGAAAAACTTTAGGAATTTTGCATAATCAGCCAAATACTGTCCATCCTTAATGAACACCAGCAACTAGCATTGCTATGGATTTCACCTCTGAAGTGACCCCTGCTTCAACATGTTCCAGGGGCCTTTGAGTACATGACTCATAAATAAAGATTGAAGCCTACATTTTTAATTTATAGACAGGGGGCATTGGCTGTGCTGTGTAGACAGTGGGACTTGGGTTTAATATACCACTCCACAGTTCATGCTGGGATATTGGCTAATGGTCTCAAAAGGACAAATGGAGAACCTATTCATGGTCTGAGGACCTGGCTGAGTACCATGTTTAATATATCCTTAAGTAGGGCTCTCTTTGACTTATCTGCCTAGTGAATAAGTTTACATGCTCTCTAAGTAGAGAAATCCAAAAAGATACAACTTCTAATGTTGGTATCATTAGCAAGAGCTGGGATTGAGCCTCAGGCTTTACACATGCTAGTGTGCTGTCACTGGGCTGTACATCCAGCCCTGAGCCACATTTTTCTTAAATTCATTCATAACTAGCATGTTTACCAAAAGAATCCACAAAACCATGCTCTCTGCACTCTAGGGTAGATCGTCCTGTTTCCGGCTTTTGATTTTTAGATAAGAGTTTGCTTTGTTGCCCAGGATGAACTTCAGTAATCCTCCTGCCTCAGCTTCATGAGAGTCGGGGCTGCAGGCCCTGTATCACATGGCAGACCCAAGTCTTGTCCCTTAGCCGGAAAATGCCTCCATGTTCCAGCAGTTTCTTCAGTTGGCTACAGACTTTATCCTTAGTCAGTGGGAGACCAGTGGTGGGAGTAGAGGAGGGAGTCAGGTGGGCCTGCTGAGGGTTTTAAGTCAATTCACTCTCTACAACCTTGTTGAGGGCTGAATCACACCTCCTCGTTTTCTGAGGCCTTGAAATGAAATTTATCATCAGCTTGGAAGAATAGTGCGTTAGACCTAAAACTTGTTCTTCTATTCCGCAACTTATTGTGTACCCAAAGCATTTTTATTAGCGTGAGAAACAATAAAAAATTGTTTTAGCACCCATCCCCTCCCCTGTTTTTTCTCTTTCTTGTAGTGCTGGGGATAGACCCCAGAGACACACTCACTCGAGGTGAGCACTGTACCAAGGAGCTACACTTTCAACCCCGCCCCAGGTTTATTCTTAGATACCAGGCTGTGTGTAACCTGAGAGAGTCTAAGAAAAGATGCTTTGTAAAACCCTCTAATGTGAGGCGCCTCTGTGGAATTAAGAGCTCTTCCTGGGATTTTATTTTTCCCAACTCCTCTCTTCCCTCCCTTCCTGCATGTCCTTTCCTCTTCTTTTCTGTTCCTTCCTTCCTGTTTTCCTCCCCACCTTTCTGCTTCTTTTTTTTTTTAAACACAATTATTTATTGATTCTTTGGAAATTTTATAACATGTACCCCAATACTGCTCACCTCCCAGTTCCTATATATCCACCCCTCACTCCTGCTGTATGCCCCCCAAATTAATTAAAAACAAACAAAAAACACACCTTGCTCTTCTATCTATGATGAACAAGTATATGGTGGTGAAATGGGAGAGAAAGAGAGGCAGAATGTGAAGAGCAGTTGTGAAGAAGCAGGGGCTGTGAGAAATGAGCTGATGTTGGTGGCCTGCTTGCCACCTGGGACATCCAAGCCTGGGCTGCTGCCTACTGCCTTATCTGGGTCTATACCAGCTGGGGTCTATGTTAACATCCTTTTTCTAGGAAGATTAGGTATTACGGTTATCAGAGAGTCCTGTCACTAGCAAACTGGGCCACAGGGAGTGTTAATAAGTAAACATGTGAAAATGCATGGAATAATACCCAGGAGCCACCACCATGGGAACTGCTGTTACAGATAAAAGCCATATTAAAAGCCATAAGGGTGAGAATTGGGGCCAGGTACTAGCTGCACTAAGATACCAGCTCTGGGTCATTAGGAAGGAAAGTAACAGGGGGACATGGAAGCTTGAGAGTGGAGGAAGAAACTAGACCAGGGGCTGGTGGTTTCAGTGAATTATTTGCCCATAATAATAATAATACAAATCAGAACAAGGTCTTCTCATGATGGCTCTGCTGACTCTAAAGAAACTAGAAAATTCCAATAGTGTTGTAGTCTGGGAAATTGCCACCTCTTAGGACTATGAAGTCAGGTGATCCTCTCTCTATT